GTACACATTTTAATGTTTGTGAATTTTATGTATAATATTGAGGGGTGGTGTAGAAATGGTATATGCTTTTGCTTCTTACTATTTGAATTTTGTGGTCATGTTGCTTCAATAAGCTCAAAGTACTTGAAAAAAATTACTAAACCTGAATAAGAACACATGTAATTTTTGTCTATTTTCTGTTCTGTTGTGCGAAATGAGTAATATCTGTCTTTTGTGATCTTTGTCTGACATGGAAATTTGAGGAGTGTAGTTAAAGAATATTATAATATTTATATATACTCCATATTTATGCTCAAAATCACAATCACTCTGAAGCACAATAATTGTATTTTGAATGTTTCTGTGAACTCTTTTTCTAAATGAAACTACGTGGCTCATTTTATTTTTGCCTGGGACGAAATAATGGCGTCCATTGAAATGATGTAATATATAATATTTAAGTCTAACCAATTCATTCCCAGTTGATAACTGTATAAAAATATACAGATGTAGGGTCGCGGTGTTAAATCTGCGATATTTTATTCCTTCATTTTTAAATGGTCAATTCTAACTATGAGATTATTTGATAAAATAAATAAATATATTAGTCAGGTTCAATAAGATTCTACTTTAAAAAAAAACTAATTTTGATGTTCTAATTGTATAAGTTTTTAAAAAATAATTTTATATTAAAATGAAAATTTTGAAAAAAAGTTTTTAACAACAAAAAAAGTAAAATATATTCATAATATCTAAATATTTTTAATTAGATTGAAATATATTTTTTTTAAAATCATTTAGAAGTATAATTTTTCAACTTAAATATTTTAGTGTTTTTTTACAAAAACAATTTTGTCACACAATGGCTTTGGTGCTCATCTAGATCCATAATTAAATTATTAAAAGAGCATTGTATTATTAGGGATGTTAAATCTTATCGGAGATTTTTGTAGAGATTATCTGTTTGGAGCTCCGAAGTCGGGAGTTTTGTCCTCCGCGCAAGAATGGGGATGAAGGGAAAAACTTTTCGATGACACTTTAGTGCAGAGATTGGAGAAATACCCTCCGTCCCGCGGATTTTTCGACCCCAACCATAATATTTAACTTTATGTTATATAATATATAATTATATAATTTGACATATTTATTTTATAAAAAATTAATTAATATATTAGGAAATGAAGAGTTCTAAGTGGATCATTTTTTTGTATTGTTTTTATTGTATAATGTATTGGTTCAAGTTGAAATACCCCATCCTAGAAAAGTGCATTTAATACATACAATGTATACACCTTTTCCTCTTCTTCTTTTCTCAATTCTCTTTGTCTCCTCCATTCCCCATCTCCTTTATTCTCATCATCATCAAAACAACTACACTCATTTGTTCAGTGTGCTTATGGTAATTACTCTTCAACTTCAATATACTTCAATTATCAAGCTGATTTTTATTCAATTAATAAATTAGTGGTTATTTTTTTGTAACTGCAAATGCTTTTGCATTTGTTTGTTATTGATTCAAGATGTGTTTTTTATTTATTAAAAAATGCAAAATTTATATTTTAAAAAAAGGAAAAAAAAAACTAAACACTAATGTCATAGTTTTGATAAAAAAATATAATTTTTTTTATGATTCGATCTCCGTGGATCTCCGATTCTCTGCGGGGATGGGGATGGGGAAAATATTCCCCTGTAGCGGAGATCGGGGACGGGGATAAGGAAAATATTCCATGCATCATTTTGGGACAAAAGGGTTTGTTGAAGAAAATAAGAGGGTGATTTTGTTGTGACAACACATCACCCATTCCAATCCCATAAGCATTCATTTTACCTGTGAATGACATGGTGAAATTAGGAAGAACCAGTACTGGTGCATGACTAACAGCATGTTTCAGTCCTTCAAAGCCAGTTGCGCTTCAGGGACCATCCAAATTGATCATTCTTAAGCAATTGAGTCAAAGGAGTATCAATGGTTGCATAAACATTGATAAAACAACGATAAAACCTGTCAAGTTCAAGAAGCCTCGAAGAGCCTTGATAGTAGTAAGTACATGCCATTGTTGAAAATAAGCATTTGGATTGCTTGAGAAAGAATTTTCCAACTTTTAATACCTAAAAAGCTTGCTCCATGTGTAGATTAATATGTCGTCAAAGCATACAATGATATATTGGCATAGAAACGGTTTAAAATGGTGTTCATAGTAGCTTGAAAAGAGGAAGGAGTGTTATAGAGACCAAACAGAATCACTATAAACTTATAGTGCCCTTGGTGTATCTGAAATAAGTTTTTTCCAATGCCGTCTTCTCACATTCGTATATGATGATAGCCTTATAACAAATCAAGTTGTGTACACCAAGTAGCGCCACCCAATTTTTCATACAGCTCAACTCATCCATAGTTGGAGTTGGAAATCGATCTTTAATAGTAATGGCATTCTATGCACGATAATCGACGCAAAACCTCAAAGATTCTTCTTTCATCTTAAAAAGAAGAATGAGTGAGGAAAAAGGATTGGTGTTGGATCATATAACACCATTCACCAACATTGTATCAACTTGCTTCTCAATTTCTTGTTTATGAAAATAATGATGTCGTCATGGTCAAAAATTTACGGGGTTGGTTTATGGAAGAAGGTGAATTGAGTGGTTTGTCTCACTGGGAGGTGGAAGGGTTGTGGATAGTTGAAACATGAAGGTGTATTTTTGGAGTAGAGTTTGAATATAAGGGTTGTTGTTTTGGGTTAATGCGGGCTTAGTCGAAATGAGATGAAGACCATCATCCTTTCTCCTTTCAACTCAATCATTTCCCCATTTTGGAAGAACTTCATATTGAGATCATTGCAATAAGTCATAATAGGATCCAACGAATTCATCCAGTGTACTCCTAGTATAACATCAACACTACTAATAGGTAGTATGTGTACATCAATGGTGAAAATGTGGGACTTGATATGTATTTTGACGAGAATTTCTTACCCTATCCCTTGGGGTTCTTAGACACCATGTACGCTTCCAAAAATATCCCCTGCTTCTGGAGATGTATCTTCGGACACACCTTTTATTTACTCAACATTGGTTTTTTTCGGAGCTACATCTACAAAATGTTTCCGTTTATATAGTTTCGGAACATATTGGAATACATTCGGGCTAGAGTCCCTTCTCCTCCCTCAATCCTCAAAAAATAATTTTTCACCAAACTTAATTTTTTTATTGAGTTCGACAAGGAGCATTCATTTCAATGATCAAGATACTTCAAATCATTCAAAGCTCGATATAATCGATAATTTTTCGAGTTTCCAAAGTATTTTCGAGTATTTCCCGTAAACGAGTTAGAATATAGTTTTAGGGGTAGAAATCCTTAGATAGTTTTAGAAACATAGTTTAGAGACAGTGTAGGTATTGTTTGTTGGCTGAAACGGATGATCAGGGCTTTAAAAAATTGATTTTCATGGGTAAGGGACGCCATTGTCGTGACTGTTAGAGTTGCAGAAAGTTAAGGAGCTACATATACAGAACAAATTAACGTTAGGGCAATCCCGTAAATGCAACTCTAGAACAAATCAAACATTGTGATATATGGGTACTTCCGTAGATACATCTACGGAAGTTTTCCGTGTGTACATATCCAAGTGTAAACAAATTTTAATATTTTTTATTTTTTATTTTTTAATTTATTTGTATCTAATTGTTTTTTCTTGGTTATACCTTGCAAACATTATGGCAGACAGAGACGATAGATTGCGACTTGGATGTGTTTCATAGTATGCATCTGTCAGACGCGATCGGAGCCAAGCCGTTACCGAGGCTGATACACCTGTTCTAGCAGAGCCTATAGATGAGACACAACCTAATGCACAACCTTTTTCATCACATGCCCAAGACACTCCCTCGGCCTCGTATTCCCCCATCATCCACTTCTTCATCCCAGAGGCGTTGGAATTTAGATGAGGGTTCATCGTAGGAAACTTCCTCGGCCTCGTATCCCACCTCATCATCCACTTCTTCATCCCAGAGGCGTCGGGATTCAGCTGAGGGTTCATCACTGGCCCCGTCCTCCCGTAAGCCTCGTCGAGATACTAATGTTCCTCCTCCTGCCGATGATGTTGATCTGGTGCCACCTCGAGAGGGTGATGACCCACCAACAGAGGATGCTGGTGATAACGATGATAATGAGCCTGAGGGTTTCCTAAGGGGCCACTCAGATATGTCCTTGCTGACAGGGTACGCTGACCATACTTCCAGACATGTCTGGGATGGAGAGGTAACATTACTCAGATTGCTTTTTTTTTTCATTGGAAATTTATAATTTGTACCATTGTTTCTTATTTATGGAAAATTTTAGACTCGTCCTCCACAAAGTACTATAACCATGGGCGAAAAATATTAGCTTTGGATCAGCCACAAAAGGCTTGGTTCCAGGAAGTCCTTGCCGTATTTGGTTTGAAGTACCTTTGTGAGATCGATTATGGCCTGATCCACAACGAGATACTGATGGGCTTTGCAGAGAGATGACACCTTGAGAAATATTCCTTCCATCTAGCGCACGGCGAGATCACAATTACACTGGACAATATCTCTTGTCTGTTACATATACCGATAAGGGGTACCCTCCACCGTCATGGTAGGATGACGAAGGAGGATGCGAGAAAGGTGTTGGTGAAGGAGCTTGGGGCTGATCCATTGCATGCGCTTGAGGAGGTGGATAAAACCATATGGGCTCATGTGAGGTTCTCCTTTTTGACACGTAGATTTGGTGAGGCGCTCGCTGCTGCACGACAAGCAGATGGTGATCCGGCTGAGGTTGAGATACACATGCAACGTGTGTTGAGTTTTTATTTTCTATTTTTAGTCGACACTTAGCTATTTGTGGACACGAGCTCCACATATATTGATGTCGCTTACCTCAGGAACTTTTTGGATTCCACACAGATCCATGAGTAAAACTGGGGGCGGCTACACTGACGTACACATACTCAAGGTTGGAAGAGGGATGCCTATGGAAGACCAGGACTGTGGCAGACAACATGTCACTACTTGTGGTAACAATCTTATATCCTTCGACTTTTTTCATTTCTTTTCATTCTATATTCGTGATAATGCTTGATCCTGATGATTTTTATTTTCATTTCAGGCTTGGATATTCCAACACTTTCCCATGATCTCCGGGTGGGGGAGTGTGCCTGATTACACAGAGCTGATGTCGCGTGGCCGTGCCTTTCTCCCGCTCAAGGGGAATCAGGCGGTCGACTCTTACAGAGTTTATCTCGATCGCTTGGTTGTTGAGGACATCCACTACAACGTCTATGCTGATCACCGTGTGATACGCTCGTTGGATGACATCTCACTATTATCAGGATGGTTTGCATGCAGTTCGACCATCATTGTTCCATATTTTTCCGAGCGCGTCATGCGGCAGTTCGGGTACACACAGACAATACTCAGACACCCAGCTGTATCCGCTCCTCTCGGCTTGACTCGTATGCAGATAGAGGAGATCTATGCTGATTATCAGAGGCACATGGTACCGGACAAGGCTCGAGCGACCAGAGTGCCGAGAGACTGGAGCTGCATTGATGGCTACATCATGTGGTTCTTCACCGTCTCACACCCCTACATGGTGCCCACTACAGAAGGATCACCGCCCAGACCAGCTCATCAGGAGATTTTAGAGAAGCAGCAGTCTCAATTGGACTACACTCAGGATATCCTGCTTCGCTGTCGTCAGATAGTGAAGATGGGGCGGACAGGCATTGACGCTGGTTTCTTCCTTGAGGGGTCTGACCACATGTGTATATTGGATGAGATGATTGCGGTGGCAGAGGGGGCACTTATATACCGCAGACATCACGCCAGAACGGGTGGGATCGATGGCCGAGGACGTAGACCAGTCGGTAGAGGAGGCGGTAGAGGTAGAGGAGGTGGCAGAGACATTGGCAGAGGAGAGGATGAAGATGTTGTCTGGCACACACAGTAGTGATTGTGGTGTTTCTTTTCTGTACTATATTTTGATGACATTAATGTACTATTTTTTGATGATTGTTTATGACATATGACTTCTTATATATATATATATATATATATATATATATATATATATATATATATATATATATATATATATATATATATATATATATATATATATATATATATATATATATATATATATATATATATATATATATATATATATATATATATATATATATATATATATATATATATATATATATATATATATATATATATATATATATATATATATCATATTGTTTTATTTACGAATGAATATTATTTTATATTCATCTGCAATAGTTAATTTTCATCTGCGACCAACAAAACTAGATTTTTTAAAAAAACTTGTTCTGATAAGATTTCGGAGATGCATCTAGAGAATTTTTTCGTAGATGTGTCTCTGAAAGCATCCAGCGTAAAGAAAAAAAAGGTGCGTCCGAAGATACAACTCCGGAAACCAAAGGCATAAAAGGAAGTACGTTAGGTAGCAAAGAGTATCAAGAGATGGATTAAAAAATTCTCATTTTGACTTGATGGCAAAACTGATGGCATTCTATTTCATTTCTATTGCCAACAATGACCTTCAGGGATGCAATGGGTTAGGCCTTAAGCCCAAGTGACTTGACTAACTTTTCTTGTATAAAATTATGGGTACTATCCCCATCAATCAAAATTATAACATTTTGGGTAGAGACTCGAGTCACCATTTGAAGTGTTTTTGGAGCAAGGTGACCCGAAAGGGCATGTAAGCTGATTTGGATGGAATTAGGGGTGTGTATGGATAACCATTTAATATGAATCAATTCACTTTTATGATTATGGTTTATAAATCAAACTACTTATCACAAAAATCAGTTTGAAATTCATAACCGGTTCCAAACCGGTTTAAAACGGATTTTGAATAGATTTTGATTTTAATCCAAATTATCTAATTAAATTTAAAATTTATTTTTTAAAAATTAAATCAATTTTTAAATTTAAATACTTAAACAAATATTTTCTTTGAAAATTTAAAAAAAAATTAAAATTCTTTTTTTAGAAAAGATAATAAATTATTTTACTATGTTCTGACTCCTGATTATTTTCACAATCATGTGAAATTTTTATCAATCATCGTAAATTATTTCAGCTAAGATAATAAATTATTTTGCACCAGAGTTTATTAGTAAGACTTAAGGAAAAAACAATTTAATGGAAAAGAAATTTAAATACCTTTATGATGGTCTAATATGCCTAAATATATTAATTTCATGTTCCTGTCTTCTCATTTCATTCACTATTCCATGAAACCTAGAAACTTGGAGACCTCAAAAGTACCTAATTATTTCAGAAACCAACCATTCTACATGATAAAATTCCATTCCATGATGTTTAAGGGAGCATTCTAAGGGTCTAGATAAGAATTTTAACAACCAATCAGTTGAAAACAAAAGGAATAAAATTTAAAACTCACCTAGAAAAAGATGCAAATCAAATCTCAGATCTGAAATAGTTATAGATCTCTAAATTACCAAAATATCTCAAATTAAAGAAACCAACATAGCATGCTAAAGTTAGTACATGAAAAAAAATCATGTAGAATGCACCAAAAAAAACACTATAAATTTCCAATGCTTTTCTCATATACGGTAAAATTTGCAAAATTGCAGCAGAGAACTTGCAACTTTTTTTCATTTCAGAAAAAAAAGTCTCAGAATTTTTTTATGAAATCAAAAAAAGAAAAACTTTAAAAGAGTTTAAAGTATAAAATTAATTTATAATGTGTATATATTGAAACATAAAAAAAAACAAACATATAAATTTAACGCATAACGAAATTTGGATATCCAATAACTAAACCACATTATTATTATTATTATTATTATTATAGGTACCAGTTTATATTTGGATAACAAAATGAATATTCATATTTATATTTTAGCATTTGATTTGTATTTTTAAAAGTGGAATAATTTGGATACCAATTTGGTTAAGCATAATCAGTTTTTTTTTGCACGCCCCTAATCGGGATCCTGGTTTAGGGAAATTTCAGGTTCTGGGTATGTTAAAGTCATGATTGACTCGAAGTTATCATCGTCCTGCATTATCAACACAAAAAACTTCTATGCACACTTGTGACCTGGAATGAACTTCTCATCACAGTTAAAACACAGTTCATTCTCACGCTAGAGTGACATCTCAGATGGTGTGAGTCGTTTGAAATGAGGTGGAGAGGTTTTGGTCGTGTTTGTAGGTGGTGGTTTGGATAAATAGTTAGAGATTTGAGAGGTAGTGTCGCGGCAGGAAAATTTGAGATTAAGTTATTAATTAACTTAACTCGAAATGTAAGAGTCACCACCGAACTTTATTGTTTTCAAACGGAAAGGGGGAAAGGTAAAAAAAAACCACAAAAGTAAAACAAAAGAAAATCTAAATACGAGGGTTTGTTATGCGAAGGGAGGGTATTAACACCTCTCACATCTATGGTACTTCATAGGAACCACTTGCAAATTTGTGTTTATGAAAAAGCTGGGTTGTTTATTGATTGATTTTAATTTAAAAATACATTTTGTCGTATTTGAGTGGAAAACTCAACTTACTACTCACAAGTATGAGGAAAGGAACATTTGCATCATCTTTATATGGAGAACTTTTAATTAGACTTTCTCATAAGCGTGTCTCAACATTCAAATGAAAAATGTCAATCACTTCTCAACATATTGTAGAAGTATAGCCGTTTGCATCACTACAAGGATATACTAATATCCAATCTTTCAAAAAAGGCTCTTAAAGAAAAGTGCACAAAAGCACAAAAAGAAGTTTGATGAGGTTTTTTTTTTTTTTTTATGGATTTTGAAAAGAGTTTGAATATTCTTCAGTGTTTTAACATTTATTAAGAAAAACATTTTCTGTATCACTTGACAAAGTCAAGGTTTATTAAGAAAAATGTGTGAAGTTTGAAAACAAGAAGTTTTGAAAATAGGGAGAAGTTTAGAAATATTCGATTAAAAGTTAGTAAGACCAACTTGGTTAAAAGTCCAAATAAAATAGTATCCAAAAAGTCTCTAATGCACCAATTAATAAAACCTTAAAGTCATATAATATTAATTAAGCCAACTCTGAGTTCATCAGTTACTCTAATTATCCCAACAGATAACTCTCACAGCACACTGAAACCCAACTGATCTCAACTAATATTATTTAGGGCATTTTATTAAACACGGGATATTACAGAGTCAATAGGAACCTTCACAACAATGACATTAATATGGATAACAATAAAGACAAAAATATAGAGGAGAAAGCTAAGGTTTGGAACACTAAGCTTCAAAATACGAATAAAAACTCCAAAATCCACATGTCTAAATACAAAAATAATAACCAATTAGACAACATATATCAAACTGGGTGCAACTATGTTGAAGTTAGAAGGAAGGAAAATCTACATGGGAAATAGGAAAGTGTTCTCACAACAAATACAACAACAAAGCTAAAAGTGAGCAGTGTGGTACAAAATAAAACTCGGAGTCAAACCGGTACATTAAGAATAAAAGCATTGAAGATAATGGTATCAATCAAGGAAATAATCATACTAAGGAGAAAGTTACCATTAATAAAAAGATGATAATTAGAGATATAAGGTTACCCATTAAAATAAACACCTTTCATCCCTAATTAGAGGAAGAAGACCAGGAATTGCAAACCAACTCCGGAAAAAGAGGATGAGATAACCGGTGGTTGTTAAACCGAAAAGGTTTAGGACCACACAACTTATTTTCATACTTCACAATAATAGGATAGTGGTCAGAGACATCTTTGGAAAGAACCCACTCTACTAGTAATCCCCAACTATCCCACCAGCCTTCAGATATCAGAATATGAGCTAACCTACTAACAACCCTTTCATTACGTTGAAACCAAGTTAACTTGCTACCTAAAAGAGGAAGATCAAGCATATCCATTTGTGAAATAAAAGAAGAAAAAGTAGAGCACTCTAAAAACCTAGAAAGGTTGGAAATAACATCACTTCTCCTCCTCTTATTAGGCAAGGTCACCACATTGAAATCACTTAGGACACACAAAATCTCACCTCGAAGGTTGTACTCATGCAAGCAAAAATGATCCTACATACTTCTTTTATTAGCCAACAAGGTTTTAGAATACACATTAACTAGAACGACCTTGAAACTCCTCACTTCAAACAATCTCCAAGAAAGTAGGGATCTAAGAAGGCTAAAAAAGCCATTCCTTTAGAACTACACCAAATTAAAACGAGACCATCACTATTACCTACATAAGCAATAAAACTCCACTCATAGAATGAATTACTTCAAAGGGACTAAACCAAATAATCTTAAACCTCAATGAGTTTGATCTCTTGGATTTCCACAAACTCGAGAGAATTGACAAGGATAAAATCTTTCACCTTCCTTATTTTAATACTACCACGAATCCCCTAACATTAAAGGAATAAATCAACATATACACCTCTCTCTAGACATTCAAGAAACTTTATTCTTCTTATCTCTCCTTTCCAACTCTACAAGTTTACCCACATTGTCCTCATTACTCAACAAGAACTCACATCCCAACTGCTTTGAAAGTAAGAGATAACAAAGTCAAAAGCTATGAAGGAAAAGGAATCAAAGAGTCTTCTAACCAAACAAATAAAGAGACCTTTTGATAACACAAACCTTCATATAGTATCAATGTAGCAACATTACCTTGCATACAAAAAGTAATAGAAGTACAAGGTTGAGAAGAGTGGTTAGCCATACCTGACTCCGAAGAAGGAGTGAGGAGAATCTGAATAATCTAACCCAAAATATGGTTTGAACCCGAGTCTATTGCCTATAGATTGTCTGGAAAAACAAATTACGAGAAACAAAGGAAAGAGATTCTGATCTGACCACTAGTGAAGCCTCTACTCCCTCTGAGAATGAATACATGATCTCACACCCAAGCCTATGAGAAATAAAA